GGTTTAAAATACTCTTATATTGAGCGTGCTGTAATGTAACATTTGGTGAGGAGAGCTATGCGTGTGGTGTGTGAGGTTCTGGGCGGGCGGTGTCCGTGTGTGAGGTGCCAGCAGTTGAATAGTAGCGGATATGTAACTTCAATTACTTCAATGTACAGAATATTCTTCGGTTGGGCAATCTGCGTATTGCAAATCCTGTATGCTAAACTTCGCGTATGTTAGGGCCGACTGTACTGGTGTTGGGTGTGGTCTATTGGTAGTTAGTGATCTTTAATACTTAACTCGTTGTTTTATTTGTCTTTTGAGTTTACACAAGAAATCTTTAAGTGTTTATACAGAATAATTTCAAAGAGGTCATACAAAATTTAGTTTGAGGTGCTTGGCTAGAAAGAAAACTGAGAAATTTAATACAGTATTTGTCTTGAAGGTAGACTTGAATACCTGTAATTAGATAATTCTAGTCAAGTTGCTAATTTGTTATGGTATTCAACACATTATTTCCATTAATATGATAATTCAATAGCATAGTAATGGTAGATCTAGTAACAGTCTTTTCACAAGTCTATAAAGCACACAACATTATGGGTGTTAAGTTTATCTGAAAACCAAGTAACTGAATGCTAATCAAGGTATGTTGAGTATCCTGGGTTGGTACAGGAGCTCAACAGTGTGATTAATCATTACATCATTAGGTGGAAGAAATATATTAAAACTTGTAAGTACAATGTAGATAATGTGGCATGGTACTATATTGTGTAATTTTGCTGTAATGACACCAAAGTGGTTTCTCAGTGATGAGAATTAAGTCGTCAGGAATTTTTAAAGATAGAAATGGAAACTAAGATGATCAATACTTCACTACCTACCTTACCCACAGTAACTGCTTCTCAGATGTCCATTCTCCTTCCATCCTGTACCTTCCTCCTCCAGCCCTCCATCTCTTTCTCTCTCCTCAGTTTAACTCTCTCTCCCTACTGTAATTTGTTTAATGTTGCTCTTTAGCAAAAGTTTTTCCTCCCCAGCCGTCCATCTGTCACACCTTCATCCTTGCATTATCTTTTATCCATTCTGTTTACTCTTTGTATCTGGTTCACTCACTTATTCCTCTAAATATATACTGTATTATCTGCTGAGATGTTCTCTCAGCATCACCATTTTTGCCATTATTTATCATTTAATTTTCCTTCAACAGATAGTAGTTGGTTCATGGACACACTGGGCTCACAACCTCTTCACTGTGTTGTCCAAGATATCTCACATGGAGGAGACACTGAGACAACACCACATGGAGAGTGGTGATGGTGAGTTTCTCTCAATTAGTAAGGAAAGAGTCATAATTCTAGTAAAATCCTGTTATAACAAAAGGGGTCGAGATTGAGCATTTTTGGGGGAGAAATGGAAATGGCCAAAGTAATCCTAGAACATTTTTGTCTTGTCATGGTAAGCTTGTGAATACCATATATGGCCTTGTACTGATTAGGTCACCCAAAAGAAGAATAAACAGGGTACATGAGCCTAAATGTGGAGGAGAGCCAGGGATTGGCCAAGAATGACATGAGTTAGGAACCTGACAAGATAACATGCAGAACGGAGGCTGCTAACCCAAACAAAAGTGAAAAATTGCCAAAATATTATGATGCTAAAATTTCTTGAAGTTCTTCATGAAAAGATGGAGAGTGGCTTATATTTGTTAAATTTTTATACTGTACCTAAAGAACTTTGTCTTACTTTGAAAACGTAAATTTCTCATACTCTTTCACATTGCAATCGCTTTGTTAGATTTTTCCTCGTCATAAAACTTTGTTATATGTTCCATCAGGGACTCTGGATCACAGGTTATGGTGGTCATGATGTCATAATCATGAACAAGATGGCTCACTGTCTCACTGGAAGCAGGACATCATAAAACCTCTACTGCTTTCAGATTCTGTATATTGTTAGATTAGCAGTCTTTGGGGCAGTTGATGCTGGAGAGGATATACTGTTGTACTGTATATGGAATCAATTATCAGCCTTGGGACACCATTGCTGATTCAGTAGAAGATACACAGTTAGTGAATCGAACATAGGTGTAATTTTCAGGAAACCTTAAACAAGTCCACTACAGTATTTCAAAACACTTGATATTGGCCAGAAGGTGAATGGGTGGCACTTGAAGAACAGGGATTTTAGTAAATCTCATTTATTTTAACAGGATTTTACTGCATGAATGTTCTGCAAAGATAGATTTTAAATTACCGCTGTTATTTTCTTGGACTTTTGTAATATTTTGAGTTTTTATTATTAATATGTACTATGTGTATATGATGTAAATAAAACTTTTGTATTCTATGGGTGTGAATATTTTCTCTTCCGTAAAGTTTTCCTGAAGCTCCATGCAGTTATATGTCCTTGCTGCCAGAGAGGATATTAAAATGGCAGGTGGGTTGGCCATCTGTCTGACTTTGAGGTCATGATCAGGATATAAATTTCTTTAAATCAAACTTTATATGTACTGTATTTATACCAATACATATTACAAAACTATTTCAGTCGTGTGATAGTCAATAATTTTCTTTTGACATTTTAGTGCCAATAATTGTCCCTGGCTTTGTTGTGGCCTGGCAGGAGACTTCCTCACTTCTACTGTTATCAGTTGATTTACTAGTGCACCAGGCAATGAAATTCTTTGCAATTGATCAGTGCGTACCAACTAGCTTCCATATATGACTGTTGTGTGGTATGTGTCCTGCAGCAGTATTGCAAATAAATGGGTGATTCTGTAATGATTTAATTTGTATCATAACCTGAGTGCATCTTATCCTTGACACTTTGCACTGACAACTTGGTATTTCTTCACATATAACAAATCTGTATTTGAATACTGTATAGTAATGTACAGTACTGTACTGTGCTTAGGAGTTGTATAATGAGATTTTATGTAAATAAATGTGTACAGTACTGTGTTGTCAATATGAAGTGGATTTTCCTGAGTTAGTCTATGTTTTTATGTTTGACAATTATGTTCAATAATTTGAATATATACAGTACTGTAGTTCACTTTATTTACATTAATGCAATACCCACTGTTGTAAAGTGGAAGTGTGTCTGTCTGTCTGTCAGGTTCCCCCACACACACACACACACACACACACACACACACACAGAGGATTAGCCCACCTGGGCACAGGTCACTGACCCACATCAGGGCCTGGGGGCGAAAATATGATGATGATGATGATGATGATGATGATATTATTTATGTATGTATTATAATAATTCAAAATAATAACAAAATATACTGTACTGAAAATAAAAATAATATACTGTACTAAAGATAGTAATAACCATAAATAAATACAAAAACGAAAATGAATCGAGAATGAGAAACGGTATACATTATGTATGTTGTGTTGTCATAGTAAGAGAAACAATTGAGCCCAGCAATTGTATGTAAATGAGGAAGAAAGTGAGATCAACAACCTGGGACTTGGTCACAATTTTTGTGATGCATATGGCAGCAGGGTCTACCATTAGACAACATATTATGCTTCCAATATCTTCCCAGGCGGTAGTACCTCCCTGTTTGATAGCTGTCTGCTACCTACTACCTGGACCTACAAAGTGGTTTGGTTGTCTGGCTGGCTGTAGAGTGGTTTGTATTGTGAATACTTGAGATTTTATGAGTTTATTGTTAACAAATATTTTATACTTTAGCTTAACTGTTGCTTTCTTTCTTGGTTAAGGTTGTGATGAACTGAATATAGCAGATTAAGTGCATCATTATGGAGGTTCTGTACAGTGTGTCATCTGGGACCTCAGTAGGGATATACTTCAGCAATAGGATGAACTGAAGCGGTGTCTGACAAACCCCTCCCTCCTGTCACCTGTGTTGGAGAAAATATACTGAGCCATCTGTGTGCTGTACATTTCCATAGTTAAGAAAGTAAGAGTTTCACATAATGATTGTATAAGTAGAATAAAGTTAAGGAAAAGGAGAATTAAGAAGTAGTACTGTAATTATGAAAAAGGTAGAAGAATGGAGTTTCAGAAAAAGTAGAAAAAGTATTGTACTGCACACCACTATTGTCATACTACTGTACACCACAATAGTCACCAGCACCTATCAAGCATTTAGTACAGTAAATGTAATTTGTTAATGTAGCTTCTCAGTATACAGTAATTTTGATCTAACAATTAGAAATGTTATTAGCTAAAATAATAATAATAATAAACGGTTTATTAATAGAGTTGCAGCGGTGGCTGAATATAAGACTTACATTTAATTTAGACATAATGATACAATATGCATTGAATACATTTACATGGCTGTGCAGTACATAAATCAGGGTTGTTTATTATTTTAAACAATAGATGGGATGGTGCTGCTCTTGTATCTATCGGTCGCGGGCTCTTATGGGCTGAATTCGTTGTAGTGGCGGACTCGCCGAGTTGGTGGGGGCTGCAGGAGGTGGCGAAGGCGTTGGTGTAGCCGGGTATTCTGCGCCCGAGCATGATTCTGCAGGCCCTTTTCTGTACCTTCTCTAGCTGACGTTGTTGGGTGGAGTTGAAGACGACCAGGCTGGTGACGCATACGTTAGTTTGGGGAGAATAAAGGCGTTGTAGATGGTCCTCAGCTCTGGCGTGGGTGTCCCAAGTGACCTAAGTCTTCGTAGCATGTAGAGACGATGCGAGCTGCCTTGACTGTGTTATTTACATGGGCCTTCCAGTCAAGTTTGTTGTCTATAGTTACACCCAGGAGTTTGGCAGACTGCACCAGCTGGAGAGATGGGCACCCACTGTGACTGCTGGGGCTTGCACTGAGTGGTGGCGGTATTGATGTGCATGACTAGGTTTTGGTGGTTGATGGTAACCTTGTTCTCCGTAGTCCATGCCTGTAGCCTGTCAGGGTGCCTTGGAGGCGATGAGTAGTCTGGTGCGGTGTTGTCCACTGAAACCCTCACAGTGCAGTCATCCCGCGTGCTTCCACCTGTGAGAGTGCCGATAGGCGTCGTTGATCAGGATGAGGAAGCACAGTGGTCCCATCTTGCCTAAGGAACACCGCAGGTGAGGTGTTGGAATGTAGAGACCAACCCTGATACCTCACTGCTTGGCGATGTCCTCAAGAAATCAGTGAGCCATGAGACCAGGTTGGTGGGCAGCCTAGTGCAATAGCCTTGTTGATAACAGTGCAGTGATCAACAAGGTCAAACCCTCCTGAAGTCCAGGCAGGTGCATTCAGATCACGTGAAGATTAAACACCCCAGCTTATTTCACTTGATTACACATAACCTAACAAGCTAAGCAGGCAATGTTTAGTCTTAGGTGATCCATGTATTTGTACATCTCCACCGACGAGTCTTCACCCTATTAACTTCGGGCATCAATCACGTGACCGCTGCACAACACAACACATGTGAATAGAGGCCATACAGCAGGTGTTAGGTGTGCATTGACTCGTACTGGCTGTTGTCCCAACGACGACGATCATAATAGGGTCAGGTGGGTGTACGACACATCACTTGGTATATATGTCTACAAAGACCATTGATGTTTGTTTATAAAGTCCCTTAATATTTATGTTTGTAAGTTCATTGCCGTTTGCATTTACAAAGTCCTTTTATGTTTGTTAAAATATCTTGGTAATTGTGTTTATAAAATCCCTTGATGCTTTTAATGTATAAAGTCTTGATATATTTATGTACAGTATAGATGATGATTACAAAATCCGTGGAAGGTACACATCCAGGACGTGGGTGTAATGGTTCATAGACTCAGTCATATTGTGTTTAATGTTGTGTTCTTTGTCATACAGCACAGGCAGCCATGGTGTGTGTTTAACCTCCCCTTACATTACTGAGTGTGTTGTTATAATAGCTTCAATAATTAACATCTTTAGGACTATGAATGTAACCATCAAGCGATAGTAAACATAAACATCAAGGGACAGTAAACATAATCATCAGGACAGTAAACATAAACATCAAGGGACAGTAAACATAAACATCAACGGACAGTAAACATAAACATCAAGGGATAGTAAACATAAACATCAAGGACTGTAAACATAAACATCAAGGGACAGTAAACATAAACATCAAGGGACAGTAAACATAACATCAACGGACAGTAAACAAACATCAAGGGACAGTAAACATAAACATCAAGGACTGTAAACATAAACATCAAGGGACAGTAAACATAAACATCAGGGACAGTAAACATAAACATCAAGGGACAGTAAACATAAACATCAAGGGACAGTAAACATAAACATCAAGGGACAGTAAACATAAACATCAAGGGACAGTAAACATAAACATCAAGGGACAGTAAACATAAACATCAAGGGACAGTAAACATAAACATCAAGGGACAGTAAACATAAACATCAAGGGACAGTAAACATAAACATCAGGGACAGTAAACATAAACATCAAGGACAGTAAACATAAACATCAAGGGACAGTAAACATAAACATCAAGGGACAGTAAACATAAACATCAAGGGACAGTAACACAAACATCAAGGGACGTAAACAAACATCAACGGACGAAACATAAACATCAACGGACAGTAAACATAAACATCCAGGGACTGTAAACATAAACATCAACGGACAGTAAACATAAACATCAAGGGACAGTAAACATAAACATCAAGGGACAGTAAACATAAACATCAAGGACAGTAAACATAAACATCAAGGGACTGTAAACATAAACATCAACGGACAGTAAACATAAACATCAAGGGACAGTAAACATAAACATCAACGGACAGTAAACATAAACATCAGGGACAGTAAACATAAACATCAGGGACAGTAAACATAAACATCAAGGGATAGTAAACATAAACATCAGGGACAGTAAACAAACATCAAGGGACAGTAAACATAAACATCAAGGGACAGTAAACATAAACATCAGGGACAGTAAACATAAACATCAACGGACAGTAAACATAAACATCAGGGACAGTAAACATAAACATCAAGGGACAATAAACATAAACATCAAGGGACAGTAACAAAACATCGGACAGTAAACATAAACATCAAGGGACAGTAAACATAAACATCAAGGGACAGTAAACATAAACATCAAGGGACAGTAAACATAAACATCAAGGGACAGTAAACATAAACATCAAGGGACAGTAAACATAAACATCAAGGGACAGTAAACATAAACATCAAGGGACAGTAAACATAAACATCAACGGACAGTAAACATAAACATCAAGGGACTGTAAACATAAACATCAACGGACAGTAAACATAAACATCAAGGACAGTAAACATAAACATCAAGGGACAGTAAACATAAACATCATGGGACAGTAAACATAAACATCAAGGGACTGTAAACATAAACATCAACGGACAGTAAACATAAACATCAACGGACAGTAAACATAAACATCAACGGACAGTAAACATAAACATCAAGGACAGTAACACAAACATCAAGGGACAGTAAACATAAACATCAAGGGATAGTAAACATAAACATCAAGGGACAGTAAACAACATCAAGGGACAGTAAACATACATCAAGGGACAGTAAACATAAACATCAAGGGACGTAAACATAAACATCAACGGACAGTAAACATAAACATCAGGGACAGTAAACATAAACATCAAGGGACAGTAAACATAAACATCAAGGGACAGTAAACATAAACATCAAGGGACAGTAAACATAAACATCAACGGACAGTAAACATAAACATCAAGGGACAGTAAACATAAACATCAAGGACAGTAAACATAAACATCAAGGGACAGTAAACATAAACATCAAGGGATAGTAAACATAAACATCAAGGGACAGTAAACATAAACATCAGGGACTGTAAACATAAACATCAAGGGACAGTAAACATAAACATCAAGGGACAGTAAACATAAACATCAAGGGACAGTAAACATAAACATCAAGGGACAGTAAACATAAACATTAAGGGATAGTAAACATAAACATCAAGGACAGTAAACATAAACATCAAGGGACAGTAAACATAAACATCAAGGGATAGTAAACATAAACATCAAGGACAGTAAACATAAACATCAAGGGACAGTAAACATAAACATCAAGGGACAGTAAACATAAACAAACATCAAGGTACAAAACCCCTTATCAATTCTGTTCTTAAACCCTTATATTGTACTAAACCCTTACAATGTTAGATGCTAAGGTAAATAAACCCTTTCCACCGGACAAATATCCCTTTAGGTAAGTAACCCCTTATTGCCTATTGAGGTAAGTACAGAGATAACTGGAGAACCTACCAGTGACGAGGATAAAGTAAATATCATCCGTTCTCCGGTATCAAGTTCCGGACTCACTCATGCCATGGCCTTCTTGTTTCACCCTCGAGTTAACGTAAGAATATCAGAAAGAATTACCATACGAGCATTTAGAATCTATCTTTGTGGCGTAGTTAAATTGAGCCAATCAGATGCTGTGTCTCGCATCTCCAGTGAACGAAGTCTTAATCTATGAATATTTGATAATGGTAACTATCTAAATCTCACGACTTAGGAGAAAATAAGTGGTGGGTGGGAACGAGGGCAGATCGTGGTGTCGTTTGTTTTCATTATGACGTATCGTTTTGTTTTGGATATGACGTACTGTACTTCAAGCGTATATAGGATGTTTGTGATGAGCTGTTTGCTCTACCCAGTTAAAGTGGATCAGCGTGCCACATGTGTACAACAGGTGTGTGTACAGATGTGGGTTGAAGGTCTGTTGGTCTACACAGGTGTCTGGCGTGACCCACACTCCAACCACACAACTGTAAAGTAGGGAGGGTGAAGTCATCGTCCTCGATACTTATCTGTCAGGGTCGATGATGATAATAGTAATAATTCCTGTACTGTACCACCCACCATAGCCATATACGGTATGCAGTATATATATATATATATATATATATATATATATATATATATATATATATATTATATTGTTGTTGACACACACATACTGTATATGACTCTTAAAGGTCGCCATGTACAGTACATACAGGATGATGCTGAGTAGAAATATATGCGTGGCTGCTATATTAGCTTGTGTATGTGTGTGTGTGTGTCATGAAATTTTCATTTATATAATATGTTCTAAGAAATATCTCACGGGTGTCCGCATGCAGTCTCTCTCTCTCTCTCTCTCTCTCTCTCTCTCTCTCTCTCTCTCTCTCTCTCTCTCTCTCTCTTCTAAGTGTAGAGTTTCTCACCTGGAGTATTGAGTGTTCCAGGTAGGGCGCTGACGCCTCACGTTACCAACAAACAAGAACGTTATAAATTACCTCGTTAATACTCGAGATTAACAAGAGGTGATGTGACAAGCTTATAAGAGCATTACTAAGATAAGTGTCCATATATCTCGAGTTAGTGAAGGGTTGCTTTACTTATAGCAGCCACACTTGACCAAGACTGACACATACACATAATCAGGTATATTCAGGAGCTCCTTTGTGTTAAATACTTGCCAGAGAGCAGACCGTCCAACGACCAGTGACCTTGACGATAGATAAATAAATAAATAAATAAATAAATAAATAAATAAATAAATAAGCGTTATTTTGTTGTTAATGAAATGAAGCGTAGTCCTACACTAGATTCAATTTATTCTTAATTAAAATCTCATATTAAGTTAGAGGTCCGCCAAATAGGTACCTGGTGGTGTTACAGGTGTTGGTAATGATACACACCTGAGTTTAAATACAAATTATACCAAGGTCACTGTCATCCTCGCTGGTGGACGAACCAGTTTAGGGGTGTGTGAGTGTGCAGTAGGAAGAATAAAATATTTGTTTTTCTTCGTGAGATATGTATACTATGTCAGTCCTCTTAGCCTCTGTACACACACAAACAATAATAATAAATAATAACAGCCCACATTCACCACCAGAGTCAAGATAACAAGTACACACAACACAGAGGGTGAGTGTAGCCCTCCTGACGTGGCTCTCAACCCCAGCAGGAACAACCTCCCAGGTCATGACTGTGGTGGAGGAGGAGTCTCATGTTCAGCACTCTACCAACCGTGTGTGTGTGTTCGTGTGTGTCATTGAGCTAACAGGACATCCCGGTATCATAATCGGTCGTTATCGGCGTCGCTTGGACTAACATAACCCAGATAACACTAAGATAACACACAAACTCTTTTTACACTAAGTCATGACGTCACAATATTGCTGAGTACGTCAACATAAGGGGTCACACTATTTATCTCTTTCACTAACGTATTAGACCATACTACTATACTACTACTACTACTACGATAGTTTTAGGGAATTAATAAAAATAAACAATAATGGTTGAGAGAGAGAGAGAGAATATTTCAGTTGTTAGCTATAGTTCAGGTCAAAAGTCAGGACATAACTTAGACTACTAAAAACATCCTTACAATAAGGTGTAATGTGTGACTCGGGGGTGTACTGTACTGTGGTGTATCCTGAGGTGGGCGCGGTGTGGTGAAGAGGGGTGTAGTGTGGGGTGTGGTGGTGGTGGTGGTCGTGGTGGAAGAGAAGAGAAGGCCGTGCTGGTGGTATTAGTTGTGGGTGGTAGTGGTTGTGGTGGTGTTGAGGGTGGTGGTGGTGGTGGGGGGTGGTGTAGTAGTGGTGGTGGTGGTGGAGGTGGTGGAGAGAAGGCCGTGGGTGGAGACAGCAGCACCACACAGTCATCAGTGTACCAGTGTGTGAGAGACACGGGTGGCGGTGTTGACGTGTGTGAAGATTTTGGACAACAACAACAACAGTGGATATCTATCGTATGGATATATTAGTGTGTGGATACCCGCTTAACTGTGCTTCATCTGGAGGTGGATAAATAACACGGATGTTGTGTGGATAGCAGAAAGCATTAAGGGTAATTGTTTGTGATAGGCTGATGTGGCCCTGGATATATTTTTACCTGGGTATTGTAATGCCTGGCTACCCACTCTGATTACTTGTAACAGTGACGTAGTGTTTCTAGATGTCTTGTGGATACAGTAAGTAGGAGAGGAGGTCATCCACACAGTTCTATCTGTCATAAGTAATAACTAGTGTAATTACCGACCTTGTTAGTGTTGAAGCAATTAGTTTTAGTGTTTTTAAAAGGCTCATATAATGTAAACAACGGCAAGATGTGTGTGTGTGTGTTGGAGTAGTAACCGACCACAACATGGGCGTGCACCTCGAGTCGTTCACGTGTGAAGTCGCTTATATCCATCTCCAGACTGTAAACATTGCAGGGCGAGCAACCAAGAGCGCCTGGCGTTATTTTCCACCTTGCACTTACACGGTTATGGGGAGATTACGTCTGACGAAACGTTCGCCTGGAGCTGTTTAATGGTGTGTGTGTGTGTGTGTGTGTGTGTAACCACCACCGACCCTCCACACCACTCCCCGACCCTCTCCACACCACATCCCCTGACCCTTCTCACACCACATCCCCGACCCTCTCGACACCACATACCCGACCCTCTCACACCACATCTCCGACCCTCTCCACACCACATCCCCTGACCCTCTCCACACCACATCCCTGACCTCCACACCACCTCCTCGACCCTCTCACACCACATCCCTGACCCTCTCCACACCACATCCCCTGACCCTCTCCACACCACATCGCTGACCTTCCACACCACATCCCCTGACCTCCGACACCACATCCCCTGACCTCGACACCACATCCCGACCCTCTCCGACACCACCTTCCGACCTCTCACACCACATCCCTGACCTCCTCTCCACACACATCCCCTGACCCTCTCCAACCACATCCCTGACCCTTCCACACCACATCCCCGACCCTCCCACACCACATCCCTGACCTCCACACCACATCCCCGGACCCTCTCGACACCACATCCCCGACCCTCTCCACACCACATCCCCTGACCTCCACACCACATCCTCTTTCTCCACCTCCTATTCCATTCTTCCTCCTTCCTCTTCTTCCTCCTCTTCCTCTTGCTCATTCCTCCTCACACCTCTTCCTCTCAACACCACACACCTGTCCGACCTTGAGAGTAATGGCCACAGGTATGACGATTGGGCGCCACTGACAGACGTCCCTGAGTGTTAGTTAGGTTTGTGTGTACCTGTGTCGAGGGTTGTGTCACCAAGGGGAGGGATAGTGTATGTATGTATGTCTCTGTGTGTATGTGTGTGTGTCTGTCTGTCTGTATATATGTATGTATATGTGTGTATGTAATAATAATAATAATAAACGGTTTATTAATAGAGTTGCAGCCGGTGGCTGAAAATATACAGACTTACATTTGATTTAGACATAATGATATAATATGCATTAAATACATTTACAGGGCTGTACAGTACATAAATCAGAGTTGTTTATTATTTTAACAATAGATGGGATGGTGCTGTTCTTATATCTATCGGTGCGGGCTCTATGGGCTGAATTTTGTTGTAGTGGCGGACTGCTGAATTGGGTGGGGGGCTGCAGGAGGTGGCGATGACGAGGGTGGTGCAGTAGTCCACGGCCAAACCTTTCCCAGTGCTTGGTGGTGGAGGTCACTGAGGATGGCATTTCCAGGGTGGAGAGAGCGTTGGTGTAGCCGGAGTATTCTGCGCCGAGCATGATTCTGCAGGCCTTTTCTGTACCTTCTATGCTGACGTTGTTGGGTGGAGTTGAAGACGACCAGGCTGGTGACGTATGTTAGTGTGTGTGTGTGTGTGTGTGTGTGTGTGTGTGTGTGTGTGTTTTAGACTCTCTCTTTTGATTACAAAACACTGTACTATAAGATTGAGTTATGGTACTCAGGTTAAACACCCGAACCTAAGCTAACCTAACCTAAGCTAACCTGAGCTAACCTAACCTATAACCTAACCTAACCTAAAGGCTAGCTAACCTAACCTAACCTAACCTACCCCCGAGTAACATTAAGGCGTTTATTAATCATGAGGTAAATAAACTAGGGTGTCTAATCTTCATGATCCCTCCCCCAAATGCACATCGAAGTAGTAAGTCCATTATATTAGATCAAGTGGTATAACTGAACCTTGGGGGTCAAATTTACGTTTAAAATATTGACTCAGAGTGTACAGTCGCTACCACTTATTTAGGTATGTGGTTATTTTAAGTGTTAGTTGATCATTAGCGCTTTATTAATGAAATTCAAGTGTTAAGTCATCGCTAGCGCTTATTTGCTTGTTAAGTGGTTCTGTTAACTGTTAGTTGATCGTTAGTGCTTATTTCTGTCTTCTAAAGTGGCAATTCAAGTGTTACATCATCGCCAGCACCTATTTCGGTCTTTTTCAGAGTAAATATAACTTAGTTCATCGTAGCGCTTATTTCTGTCTTATTAAGATGATTGCGTAAAGTCATCAGTCACTCTCGATCGTTCCATCATTTAGACATTTATTCACTCAGTCATTTATTTATTCAATTACCGAACCAGTCAGTCAGTATAGTCGGTGCTGTGTTAGTCAGTCGAGCAATCAGTCGGCCAGTCAAAAAAGCATTCATAGAGCTGACTGACAGTTGTAAAGTCGGTGTGTATTGTAGACAGAAATGTGATAGCAGAGGAGCGTTAAGTATGCAGGTTCGACCTCAGTGTGTCAAGTTCGACCTCAGTGTGTCAAATTTCGACCTCAGTGTGTCAAGTTCGACCTCAGTGTGTCAAGTTCGACCTCAGTGGTGTGAAGTTCGACCTCAGTGTGTCAGTTTGACTCAGTGTGTCAGTTCGACCTCAGTGTGTCAAGTTCGACCTCAGTGTGTCAAGTTCGATCTCAGTGTGTCAAGTTCGACCTCCAGTGTGTCAAGTTCGACCTCAGTGTGTCAAGTTTGACCTCAGTGTGGCCAAGTTCGACCTCAGTGTGTCAAGTTCGACCTCGTGTGTCAGTCTGACCTCAGTGTGTCAAGTTCTCAGTGTGTCAAGTTCTGACCTCAGTGTGTCAAGTTCGACCTCAGTGTGTCAAGTTCGATCTCAGTGTGTCAAGTTCGACCTCAGTGTGTCAAGTCTGACCTCAGTGTGTCAAGTTCGATCTCAGTGTGTCAAGTTCGACCTCAGTGTGTCAGTTCGACCTCAGTGTGTCGTTCGACCTCAGTGTGTCGGTTCGTCAGTGTGTCAAGTTCGACCTCAGTGTGTCAAGTTCGACCTCAGTGTGTCAAGTTCGACCTGTAATGGTACAAACTCACAAGAAGAAGATTACATATAGGTAGAATATTGATAGTATAAGAGTATAAAGAGAGGGAAGACTTTGGTAGCGTGGCCGTGATAGTTATTTACTCTTATCGTACACTGGTCGTGTCTTACACGTCAATACACATCTATCACGTTCTTAAAGGCGACTTCTTAAACACTGCTTTTACAACTCTTTATTAATCACGAACATGACATGGACACATTAATAACACCTTCTATTGAAGTTACTAGGACATTATATTTACGTTACTAGGACATCATATTACGTTACTAGACACTCTGATTCTCGGACGAACATGAAATGAATACACTTCAATGAGGTAACTCATCCCATGGAACGCTCTGACAAACACTCACGTGACCTAGGGAGGCCTAGCAGGAGACTGCTTAGCTGGGACACTGGTATCGAGGGCGACTGCTTAGCTGGAACACTGGTGTCGGGTGGGCGACTGCTTAGCTGGAACACTGGTGTCGGGAGGGCGACTGCTTAGCTGAACACTGGTGTCGGAGGGCGACTGCTTAGCTGGGACACTGGTATCGAGGCTGCTTAGCTGGGACACTGGTATCGGGAGGGCGACTGCTTAGCTGGAACACTGGTGTCGGGAGGGCGACTGCTTAGCTGGGACACTGGTATCGGGAGGCGACTGCTTAGCTGGGACACTGGTGGTGGACTGCTTAGCTGGGACACCGGAGGGAAGTCTCGTCCTGACCGGAGGCACTTGCCTCCGCCTCTGACTTCGGCCCGAGCAGGCCTGGTGGTGTCGAGCTGGCCACCTTGTTACAAGACAACTACTTTTCTGAATCGTCGAGGAGGACCAGGACGTCCTATATATTGGGATGCGAGCCGTCAGGTTCAGCTGGCCGGGGCGAAGGGTCTCCTTACATTGACCCCGCAAATGTGCGGTCAGGCCTGGACCTTTTCAGAACTATCTGGGAAAGTCATCAGGCGGGCCGTGTGTATATTGGGAGAGCAACGTGAGAGTTCCCTACACTTGACTTCCCAAACGTCGGGTCAGACTGGAGTTTCTGAGATGTAAGGAGAAGTCGTCAGGTGGGGCCGAACACGAGAGGCTTGAGTTGACCTAAGGGTTACAAGTGACCTGGCTAATTGTGAGGTCAGGTCCGGCCTTTGTTCAGAGAGTAGGTTATTGTATATCGGAAGAGGGTCAGCTGGTGCCTTCTTACATGTTTTGTTGGGGCCACATGTCACATGGGAGGGAGCTAGTTGATTTGTAACCCCTGTCCACCGTGAGAGTTACACGACCCCTCCTAATGTCGGGTCAAGACTGGCCCCTCTGCGGTGTAGGACATTGTGTATATTGGGAGAGCCGGCTGGTGCCCTCTACATGTGTGACATGGGAGGGGAGCTTAGTTGGTTACAATCCTTGGTCAACCGCAGAGTTACCCTACACTTGACCTAGGGAAGGCCTAGAGTTTCTGAGATGTAAGCTGTGGTCTGACAACCCATCACTACAGACCTCAGTGTGTCAAGTTCGATCTCAGTGTGTCAAGTTCGATCTCAGTGTGTCAAGTCTGACCTCAGTGTCAAGTTCGATCTCAGTGTGTCAAGTCCGATCTCAGTGTGTCAAGTTCGACCTCACTGTCAAGTTTGACCTCAGTGTGTCAGGTTCGACCTCAGTGTGTCAAGTTCGACCTCAGTATGTCAAGTTCGACCTCAGTGTGTCAAGTTCGACCTCAGTGTGTCAAGTGTTCGACCTCAGTGTGTCAAGTTCGACCTCAGTGTGTGTTCCAGCTGGTCCAGTGCTTAATAAATCTCCGCCATTAACCTTGAAACCCGCCTCCCTCGCTGACGTCACCACGAACCAAAAAATTTAATTGTGACCTGTTTAGTCTTCATTTCCTTTTAGAATATATTTTATAGATGATTTGAAATAACCTTAAGTAAAACAAATTCATAACGTGTGTTTTATTTGTTGATGTTCGTTTGTCTTAGAAGTTTATGAAGTTTCGTTCAAATGTCGGTTTCGTTCGCTCGGTTTAATTCCTACGCACTACTGTTTAAATGTCTAATCTCACTAAATGTCATTAACGCGACATAACTTTTAATTAATATAAGTTTTGAAAATTTTGCCAAACACATATACGTATACCTGTTTATTCAATAGAGGTTTTAAAACTTTACCTCCCAGAATAAATATTTTATTTATGTTATCGTCCTTGGGCAGCTGTTATCCGTATGTAAATAATTAATCTTCAACATATGTAAAAAACCATGTTGAATATCGCCAAAATATCGGTTACTAATGTCAATATGAGACAGAATTATAGCTCAAACCCGCTAACTTCACAACTACAACACGACAGAATTATAGCTCAAACTCGCTAACTTCACAGCTACAACACGACAGAATTATAGCTCAAACTCGCTAACTTCACAGCTACAACACGCCAGATTTATAGCTCAAACTCGCTAACTTCACAGCTACAACACGACAGAATTATAGCTCAAACTCGCTAACTTCACAGCTACAACACGCCAGATTTATAGCTCAAACTCGCTAACTTCACAGCTACAACACGCCAGATTTATAGCTCAAACTCGCTAACTTCACAGCTACAACACGCCAGATTTATAGCTCAAACTCGCTAACTTCACAGCTACAACACGACAGATTTATAGCTCAAACTCGCTAACTTCACAGCTACAACACGACAGATTTATAGCTCAAACTCGCTAACTTCACAGCTACAACACGACAGATTTATAGCTCAAACTCGCTAACTTCACAGCTACAACACGACAGATTTATAGCTCAAACTCGCTAACTTCACAGCTACAACACGACAGATTTATAGCTCAAACTCGCTAACTTCACAACTACAACACGGCAGATTTATAGCTCAAACTCGCTAACTTCACTGCTACAACACGACAGATTTATAGCTCAAACTCGCTAACTTCACAACTACAACACGACAGATTTATAGCTCAAACTCGCTAACTTCACAGCTACAACACGACAGATTTATAGCTCAAACTCGCTAACTTCACAGCTACAACACGACAGATTTATAGCTCAAACTCGCTAACTTCACAGCTACAACACGCCAGATTTATAGCTCAAATCCCAAGAATGAAACACACCAATAGTTGCGTTGCCAGCTCTATGAATGCCACCCTGAGTGAATGACTGAACAACTGGCCGAGATGATGAGAGTTATAGATGATGAAATAAAAGAGGCGTAGGAGGAATGAGCTCACAGATAAGCCTTATCAGTTGTCCCAGCCACCACCTGATAACACAGGCGTCACTCATACATACATACATACATACACATACATACATACATACATACATACATACATACATACAAATAAACATACATACACATACATACATACATACATACAAATAAACATACATACATGCATACATACATATAGTACATACATACATACAAATAAACATACATACAGTACATACATACATACATACAAATAAACATACATACATACATACATACATACAAATACACACACATACGTACATACATACATACATACAATACAATTGGATATTTCATTCATCTATTAGTTTGGATCACCTGAATATTAGACCCCCTCCCCCCCCTTCCCCCGTAGCTTAATCCGCCCTAAGATTAACCTCTACTGCTACCTGGGGGGGGGGGGTAGATTAGGTTAGGTTAAGTTTGGTTAAGGTTTGGTTAGGCCACTGCAGCCTTCATCTTATTATAGGTTCTGTTAATATGTTGACTGAGAGAGAGAGAGAGAGAGATAGTCTGTTCTGAATGAGGTCTGGTGTACCCGTGGTCCATTACCTAGCCTAACCTAACCAAACCTAACCTAACCAAACCAAACCAAACCTAACCTAACCTAACCAAACCTAACCTAACCAAACGTAACCTAACCAAACCTAACCAAACCAAACCTAACCTAACCAAACCTAACCTAACCAAACCTAACCTAGTAACCTAACCAAACCTAACCAAACCAAACCTAACCTAACCAAACCTAACCTAACCAAACCTAACCTAGCCAAACCTAACCTAACCAAACCAAAAACTAACGAGAAAAACTTCAGATTAATAAAGCGAATGAATCCCTTTATGTTACAGACTTAGCGAGAGGAGCCACAGCTGATATGAGTCGCCAGATGAACAGACTTAAGGGCGAGTTGAGAGACATACCCAAGAAATATATGAGGAACTCCTTTACAGATGAGAGATATATCAGGAAATAGATGATTATATACGATACTGTGATATAGATGAAATATATATGAATGAGACAGAAAAAACCCAGTGAAGTAGACCCTATCAGTGACCCTTACGAGGCTAAATATATACGTGAAATATATCCAGTGAGGGAATAGATGTGTTTCCCCCCTACCAATGACATAGAAAACGCAGTGGTGTGAAGAAATATATCTAAGCAGTTGTAAACATATTGTGACGTGGTACAGCATTTGTGTTTGATAAATATTAAGAAAAAATTGAAAAAACAATGTAAATATTGTTACTAAAATGACTCACTGACTGAAGTATATTAACAACAGAAAAGAGAGTCTAGTTCGAGTGACTGTGATATATATTGAAAAGGATTAATTTATAGATATTGTGAATGTTATTTTGAGGTTCATGCTGCCTAAAACATAATAATTAATGCAAACTAAGCAAAAGGTTGAAGAAAATGACCTCGGTAGTTATAGGTCAGATGAACGTAAAGTGAACGACCTTGAATAAATGACCTCTAGTTATAGGTCAGATGAACGTAAAGTGAACGACCTTGAATAAATGACCTCAGTAGTTATAGGTCAGGTCAACGTAAAGTGAACGACCTTGAATAAATGACCTCAGTAGTTATAGGTCAGGTCAACGTAAAGTGAACGACCTTGAATAAATGACCTCAGTAGTTATAGGTCAGGTCAACGTAAAGTGAACGACCTTGAATAAATGACCTCAGTAGTTATAGGTCAGGTCAACGTAAAGTGAACGACCTTGAATAAATGACCTCAGCAGTTATAGGTCAGGTCAACGTATAGCAAGTGACAAGTACAGGCTCATTTCTCGTATTAGATTGGCGGTGTGACCTACCTACCGCCTATCATGGGTGGCACAACTCATTTACCAGTTAGTCTCCAACACCCTCCACGCCCACGACACCACCACCGCCGCCCACAGCCACCCAGCAGCCAGCAGGTGAGTGTGGGTGGGTTCTGTTGATCGCTTCCACCTGTTCTACCCTAAGGTGATGTGCTGTGTGTTAGGTCCCATGATGTTATGGAGTGAGTGTAGATCATAGTTACGATAAATGGTGATATTCTTTTCTTTCTTTCCTTCTTTCTCGCTTTTTTCCACAGCAAACATGACAACAACTCACTCACCACGCCCCTTCTCCTCCCACAGCTTGATATGACACCTGTGGGTAAGGATGAAGGGCTGTTTGTTGCTGGGTGGGGTTGGTGGGGTGGGGGGGTGTGTTAGGAGAAGGTAAATGAGGGGAAATTTGTTGCTGGGTGGGGTTGGTGGGGGGGGTGTGTTAGGAGAAGGTAAATGAGGAAATTTGTTGCTGGGGTTGGTGGGGGGTGTTAGGAGAAGGTAAATGAGGGAAATTTGTTGCTGGGTGGGGTTGGTGGGGGTGTTAGGAGAAGGTAAATGAGGAAATTTGTTGCTGGGTGGGTGGTGGGTGTTAGGAAGTAAATAGGAAATTTGTTGCTGGGTGGGGTTGGTGGGGGTTAGGAGAAGGTAAGAGAAATTTGTTGCTGGTGGTGGTGGGGGGTGTTAGAGAAGGTAAATGAGGGAAATTTGTTGCTGGGTGGGGTTGGTGGGGGGGTGTTAGGAGAAGGTAAATGAGGGGAAATTTGACGAAAAGTAGGGGAGTAAAGGTATCCGGGATCAACCAGATATGCTGTATTTTAAAGTTCTTTGTTGATCTTTCGTACTATACTAATTTAAGTTCTAGCTCTCAGGCCTTTGACTTCTCTAGATCAAGTTTTGTTCCGTACAGTAAGTAGTATTTCACTATTTCCTTCCCCACAACACTTGGGATCTCTAGAGGCGTGTGTCTTATTCCGTGTCTGTAAGGGGAAAGGTATGTAAGGGAAAGGTGGGGTATGGAAGGGAAAGGGGGGTATGTAAGGGAAAAGGTGGGTATGGAAGGAAAGGGGGTATGAAGGAAAGGTGGGGTATGTAAGGGAAAGGTGGGGTATGTAAGGGAAAGGTGGGGTATGGAAGGGGAAAGGGGGTGGAAGGAAAGGGGGGAAGTGGAGGGGGAAAGGTATGTAAGGGAAAGGGGGGGCATGTAAGGGAAAGGGGGAATGGAAGGGGAAAGGTGGGTGGAAGGGGAAAGGTGGGGTATGAAGGGGAGGTGGGGTATGTAAGGAAAGGGGGTATGGAAGGAAAGGATGGGAGGAAAGGGGTATGTAAGGGGAAAGGGGGGTATGTAAGGAAAGGGGGTATGGAAGGAAAGGTGGGGGTATGTAAGGGAAAGGAAGGGGAAGGGAAAGGGAAGGTATGTGAAAGGGGTATGTAAGGGAAAGGGGTATGTAAGGAAAGGGGGGTATGGAAGGGGAAGGGGTATGAAGGGAAAGGGGGGTATGTAAGGGAAAGGGGGTATGGAAGGGGAAAGGGGGGGAGGGGGAAAGGGGGATGTAAGGAAAGGGGTATGAGGGAAAGGGGTATGGAAGGGAAAGGGGATGCAAGGAAAGGGGTATGTAAGGGAAAGGGGTATGAAGGGGAAAGGGGGTATGGAAGGGGAAAGGGGGTATGGAAGGAAAAGGAAAAGGAAGGGGGTAAAGGAAAGGGGGGTATGGGGGGGTATGGAAGGGGAAAGGGGGGTATGGAAGGGAGTGAGGAGGAATGTGGTAAAAAGGGCAGGATGAGGGTGAAGGGAGAAGAATGATGGAAAGAAAGATGGATGAGGGATTAAAAAGGGGGAGTGGGGAGACTGACAGATAGATTGACAGGAACACAGAGAGAGAGAGAGAGAGAGAGAGAGAGAGAGAGAGAGAGATTAATAAAGAAGCGATACACCTTTACATTACAGGTGTGCAATATCCGCTGCCTTGGTAATGTTAGGACAAGTGTCAACGCCCTCTGACCTACCTGGGTTCAAAGTCCCCAAGATGCGTTCGTCAATTTTTCCTTCAACTGGACATAAACCGTCATGAAATGTTGTGGCTTTCTGATAAATGTTTTTGGGTTGTAGGTTTAGGGAGCCATTTAGAGGCGCCTTAACTTATGAGCTTTTGAGAATCCATCTTTGTGTGGTAGATCAAGTTAGTGAGTTAGTTGGGTGTTTACATCTAAAGCCTACCAGTCGTGGAGAGTAAGACGCTGGGAAGAACTTATCTGTACTAACACAATGACAAAGTTCCCGTCAATATCTGTCCATATATTGTGACAACAGTGTTCGAGTCACCCACAGTGAGGTTTTAACCAGACTTACCTCACCTCTCCAGCAGGACGTGGGGATGGACCTGTCTACACTGACGGAGAGTGAGAGGGGCGCCATACTGGCTGTACTGGAGAGGGATGACCACCTCAGACACGCCGACCAACAGCGGATCTAGTGAGTACCTTGTGTAGTATTGTCTGTGTATGTACTATTGAATACATACATATATGTTAATGTATGTAGGTATTTGTACAGGTATGTATTATTCACGAGGGTAAATTTACAGTACACGTACTAGTTGAGTCACCGCCTTAGCCCGGGTGAAGGGACAGGAGATAGTGCGCGACCATTCCCTGGGTCACCCGCTCCTCCTTACTACATTTCAGTTATATCTTCAAAATTGTGGAGTGTGGGGGGGGGGTCGGCTCCTGTGAGGCCGCTCGTGGGGGACAGCAGACGGTGTGTGACCATCGCCAAGGGCACCACCATCTCCTAATCAAATGTCAGCTCATAGTATCTTCAAAACTCTGGATATGCATAAAGAACACACACACACGATGTATATATATATATATATATATATATATTAGAGTGTGTGTGGATGTCTGCAAGAATGTTTACTGTTGTTTCTGCACCCCGTCTGTGTCCACCATGTGTGTGTTGGACTTCCAAGTTATATTGATCCTGAGTATGGTCGATGTATCGCCTTTCTGAAAGCGGTCGGGAAAATTCCGGAGGCATCACACAACACTTCATTAAACTGTATTCGGCGACCTGTAATGGTGTTTACTGCCAGACTGTTGTAGCATGACCTCGTGTGACCGTCTGTGACCCGTGACCTTCCTTGAACTCTCTTCCACTCGCCTATGGTCGGGGGAAAGTGAAGGAGGTCAGTCTGGTCAGAGCCACGACGCCGTCAACTTTGACCCTCTCGCCCAGGTGTGTGTGTGACCCCGTGACCCCTGGCTGAACCAAAGAGAGAGAGAGGCTACTAGCACGAGTGTGTTTCTCTCACCTCCCCGTGAAGAAGAGAAAGAGGGGAGGCAAGGAGGAGGGGCTGAAAGGGAAGAAGAGGAGAAGTGGGGAGATATATGTGGAGAAAGGGAAGAAGAAAGGAGGGAAGGAGAAGAGGTGAAGGGGATAAGAGGAGGAGGAGAGGGATAGGATGGAGGGGAAGGAGAGGGATAGGATGGAGGAGGAGGAGAGGGATAGGATGGAGGGGGAGGAGGAGGAGGAGGGGGTTGGGGGGGGGGCAATTGGTGAATCATAAGACGTGTGTCCAGTCTAGTTTATTTCGTCGGCTCTATCTATTACTGATGTTTATGTCTGTTTGTCTGTTTGTCTGTATGTATGTATGTCTGTATGTATGTATGTCTGTATGTCTTTCCTTTTTTATGATGTAACTATATGTTTGTTTGTCTGTAAGATAGATAGATACTTGTACATATCATTTACCTTGAACAGAGAAAAATACTTTAGAGAAATGTTACCCTCTCTCTCTCTCTCTCTCTCTCTCTCCACCATACCATGTGTGGTCAAGAGTGGCTAGCATGAGCAGGCAGCCCCTCACCTCCCCCTTCCACCCACTCCTCCCCCTCCTCCAGTCCTCGCGCCACACACACACACCCTGCTGATGGCACTGACCTTACTGTGTGGTAGGTTTGACCTTCTTTGACCCCTGTAAAGTATTGACCGTCAATTGACCTTTGACTCGAAAAAAAATATTGACCATCTCGTAACCTTTGACCTACTTAAGTAAGGTAATGAATCACGGCCAAATGTGAACTCTGGCGAGGTAACTCCTCCTGACGGTAAGTGTGAGGGTTTACTCATAACTGTGAGCAGTGAGTGAGGGAGTGGCGGTGAGTGAAGGAGTGGTGGTGAGTGAGGGAGTGGAGGTGAGTGAGGGAGTGGCGGTGAGTGAGGTGGTGGTGGTGAGGGAGTGGGTGAGGTGAGGGGTGGTGGTGAGTGAGGGAGTGGCGGTGAGTGAGGGTGGTGGTGAGTGGGGGTGGGGTGAGTGAGGGAGTGGCGGTGAGTGAAGGAGGACAGCGTATGAGTCAGCCCGTGAGTGAGGGAGTTGGGGGTGGAGTGAATCACCTGGGCGACCATCAGCTGGACGTCTCTCTCTCTCTCTCTCTCTCTCTCTCTCTCTCTCTCATTTGTCGAACCACCACCCTTTCTGTGTGTGTGTAATAATAATAATAATAATAATAATAAACGGTTTATTAATAGAGTTGCAGTCGGTGGCTGAAAATATACAAACTTACATGTGATTTAGACATAATGATATGCGTTCAATACATTTACAGGGCTGTACAGTACATAAATCAGGAGTTGTTTATTATTTTAACACTAGATGGGATGTGTGTGTGTGTGTGTGTGTGTGTGTGTGTGTGTGTGTGTGTGTGTGTGTGTCCCCCTCTTCTCACCTGTTGTATAATCTCCTCACTGAACCTTCCTTGTTTCTTATCTTTCTGAGTTAACACCTTCCCTTCCTCCCCCTTCCCCTCCCTCCCTCCCCCCCTCCTCTCCCCTCCCTACCAACACAATCCTGTTCTCCGTCGATGCCAGTGCCCAGTGCCAAGTTTGTGGGGTAGGATGTCACGGGTGGCACTCCTAAGACGTGGCCCTCCGTCAAAGGCAGCCTGAGTGATGGTGATAGTGATGGTGACAGTGATGGTGATGATGAAAGATGTGATAGTGAGTGATAATTCGTTATAATGATGAAAATAATAATGATGAAGATGATGATGGTGATGATGATTGATAATGATGATGGTGATTATAAAATAGGTTAGTAGTAATAATAGCGATATTCTAATGGTGAATTTGGTGGTAGTGACAAGACTTGGCAACTGTGAATGGTGACGTGCCTAGCTATGATAGTGAGTGATAGTGACACACATACATAGAAGTGATGATGGTGATGAAGAATAATGACCTGGGGATTATTAAGACAGTGTCCACCATGAACCGCCCATCTTCAAGCCACGCCCATACATAAGTCACGCCCACAACAATAACCGCCCATTCTTTAGTCACTTTCATAATAACAACCTCCCATTTTAAGCCACGCCCACCACAATAACCACCCATTACAGAGCCACGCCCACCACGGTAACCACCTATTTTTAAGCCACGCCCACCACGGTAACAATCCATTTCTAAACCACGCCCACGTAGGCTTGGCCCATAAGGTTTATATTTAACAGTGATAGTTCGAGACCTTGAACCATGCCATCCCTGAGCCACCCCTGCACGCCCACGCCGCCCATACATGGCTCTCGTGAGGGCGTGGGGGCGAGAGGAGGTGTGGATAAGGCACGGGAAGACAAGAGGGAGGAACGAGAAGGTGAGGAGTCGCTGGATGGCGTGGGGGCATGTGGTGGCGTGGAGGCGCGGGATGGCGTGGGGGCGTGTGGTGGCGTGGGGGCGCGGGATGGTGTGGAGGGGCAGGAAGGCTTGGAAGAGGCGCGGGATGGCGTGGGACGGTCCCGGGAAGGCGTGTGGACATACAGGGTTGGTATGACCCCGTCACCGAGGGCTTGGGTCCAGATGATGACCTTGTGTTGTGGCTTCTACAGGTAGGTCCTGAGGGGAGAGAGAGAGAGAGAGAGAGAGAGAGATCCCATAACACCTCCAGGCTGTCTGTAATTACTCGTACATAACACAGGTTGCTGGTGTGTGTGTGTGTGTGTGTGTGTGTGTGTGTGTGTGTGTGTGTGTGTGTGTGTGTGTGTGTGTGTGTTAGGGCTCATGGCGCCCAATAAACACATGGGCTGCTGACATGTAAAAATGTTTGGTAAAGTTGTGGCCAATATTCCCCGTACACTCACAGTAATATCTGGGTCATATATGTGATTACTTTACAGCTGGTGATAACTACAGCTCAGGGATCACGTGAAGATTAAACACCTTAGCTTATTTCACCTGCGGGGGTAAGATTAGGTTATCTTAGTGTAGGTTTCGTTAGCGTTAAGGTGTGGTGATAACTACAGCTCAGGGATCACGTGAAGATTAAACACCTTAGCTTATTTCACCTGCGGGGGTAAGATTAGGTTATCTTAGTGTAGGTTTCGTTAGCGTTAAGGTGTTTAATCTCAGGTGTCTGATCTTCACGTGATCCAATTTCAATGTTCAGGATATTCCCAAATGTCTTTATAATAAAACCAAGAACGAGACGGTCGACAAGTGACAGTGCTCACCTTCTGTGCCTGTGGGGTTAATTTTTGTAATATATAATAGAAACAAACTGGGAATTTATTTGAGATGACGCCATAAGTCTATAGATATTCAGGTAGGGAGTCAGAAATCTCAAATGTTGGGGGACTGGAAGGGAGGGGAAGCACACACACACACACACACACACACACACACACACACACAATATATATATATATATATAACAACTCAGATAATTGTCGATAGTAGAATCCATTATTTTTATTCCGATTGTTAACACCCAAAGTGATCGGTTCGAAACATCCTGATCACTTTTTTTAAATCAAGAATTTTTATATTTATCAAGTGATTCAATCTGGAGATTGAGGATGTGTCCTCTGTCCTCCCGGTGCTAAATTCGCCACCCTAGGTCACAATTATAGACATCATCAAAGAACAGTCCGACAATTGCTAGGGCTTACCATTAAAAAGAAAGTTCGTTTTCTTTGGTTGTCTCATGAAAGTATGGGAATCTTCTTTTTTCTTCCCCATTTCAGTCGCTATTTCTCCCTTGTTCTGTATCCATTTATTTGAAAAAAATATAGAAGTGATAAACACCTAATCCCGTAGTCTTCTTGTTCATAAAATAAATCCTTAGTTATAAATATACAAACATTTAATTCACCCTGTCAGCTCATCTGTTAGTTGTAGGTGCGGCTAACAGATGGCAGTACTGGTACCACAATGACTGTATGACATACTTGTGGGGTTTCGTGATATTTGGTTCACACTCAAGATGGGATGGAGAAAGGAAACTCACAATGTGCTCTCTGTATACATATTATATTGGATGTACAATGCAGCTTGGTGGCTGGTGCTGGGAGGAGGCAGCGGGGTTACAAGCGTGAGCAGGGAGAGCTGGTTGGTGAGGGTGCTCAGAGGAGGTGTTGCTTGCTGCGGCTGTAGCTAGAAGAAGGGGGCAGGTCACGGCCAGGTGTGGTCTTATATAAGAA